AAAAATTAATGTCACTCACCAGCCACAATCTAGAGGCAACTAGTTTATAGATAGCTATCTTCTTGCTATACTCTCTGTAAATTTATTTAAATTTAAATTTATTTTTTAACATACATTTTAAGAAAAAAAATTTTTTTTTAAAGATGAGGTCTTGCTCTATCACCAGGCTCGAGTGCAGTGGCACAATCATACCTCACTGCAGCCTCAAACTTTTGGCCTCAAGTGATCCTGCTGCCTCAGCCTGCTAAGGTGCTAGGGCTATGGGTGTGAATCACCATGGCTGTTTATTTGTATTGCTATTTTTTAAATTTATATTCAAACATAATAAGGATAATACTGATTATGTGTGGCTTTTTATCCTGCTAATCTTAACATTTTGAGGTTTATTTGTATATCAGTAAAAATGTTTGGTAAAATAAAAAACTTGATTACTATATAACTTATTCACTCTAACAGCTATTTCTTAAATAGCTGTTATGTTCCAGATCTTATTTTAGGCATGTGCCAGAACAAAGTTCTTACTCTCATAGAGTTTACATTTTAGTGGGATAAAATAATAAACAAAATTTTTTTTTAAGGCTAGTCAAGTGAAGCAATGAGAGTGGAGAAGGAAAAAAGGAATCTGTAACTGGTTGTGATCAACTAGTTGTAAACACTGCTGTACTCAGACCAGCCTGATAAATTAGTAAATAAATATAGATACCATCAAATGTTAAGTGCAATGAAGAATAAGAGTATATTCTATATCGTCACTTTGTTTTTTTAGTGATGTCCTGCAAATATACCTTCTTTAAGGGATGTATGATAATATCTACCTCATTTTATTACGTCATTAATGGATATGATTATTTAAAAAGTATGAATTTTATAGGTGAATTATGATAGGTCTTTGTAGTTTGCATGTCTGATTACTCAGGAAGTGGAACATTTTCTCACAGTCACGTCCATTACCTCTTCACTGAGTTTTCTGAGCATGTTTTCTGTTTTTCCTATTGAAAGCCTGGTGTTTTCTTCTATTTGAACACATTATTAATGAGTTGTGGGGTTCCTTCCATTATCATGGACAAACAGTGGTACAGTGAGGCTGTAAGAAGAAAAACTAGAGGAAGCCTGGAATTTCCTTTTAATACAGTGAGGAAAAAGTGATCAGAGAAGGAAGAAGTCCAGTTTAGAAGGAGGAGATAAAGCGATAGGTGGGTGAGACAATAAAGGTCATGAAAATAGAAGGAAGACATGAGCTGAGGCCAGAGGAGAAGTGGTAAGAAGGAAGCGGAATGAGGGAAGAGAAAAGGGAGTGAGTGAGAAGATAAAAGAATGGGAGGCAGAGAAATTAGGATGCTACGTGACTACCTTAGATAAATTGTACTTTTCTTTTTTCTTTTTCTACTAACCTAGTGAACCTCTAAGAGAAGATGACCGTGTTCTTTAAAACCCTTCGAAATCACTGGAAGAAGACTACCACTGGGCTCTGCCTGCTGACCTGGGGGGGCCATTGGCTCTATGGAAAACACTGGTAACTATCTGACAGCCCCCCCCCCAACCTTCACCTCCACAACAACAAAATAGTCCAAAAGGGCCTGAACTTAAAATTGTCAGCTATGCTTATCTCTCTAAAACATGCAGTGTAAAAGAAAAATAAATAGTATTCAAACCAAAAACAAAGACAGAAGCTTCTTGTAACCAGAGCTGTGCGATTGGAACTATAAGTATGCTCATACTCCAGTGGATGTAGATTATAGTGCTAAGATCAGAAAGGAAGCTATTTTTAATCATTTTATTTATGTTGAAGAAATTAAGGCTCATCCTAGAGGGAAAAGTCCCCTCCCAAGTTAGGAATAGACAGGGATTGGAAGTCATATGTCCTCCTGGGATTTTATTCTTTCATTTTCTCCCTGTAACTTGTTATCACTCCATAGCTGGACACTTACTGAATCTGTTTCCTCTCTCCCTGTGACTAGACTCAGCTGTCCCATGGCCTACATTAATTTCAATGAGAAGAGGGCTTTCAAACCTTTTGTATAAATGAGAAATTTTAGAGAGTCAGGGTTTTATTAGCCTTCGGGCTTGGAGAGAGAAGAAGAAAGTGCTAGAACTCCTCTTCTGGTTTAATATAGTAATAAGATTTAAATAAACAGAGGTTTTTATACAGATTATAAAGATAGCCAATCAAATTACAGTCTTTTGGGGATTTGGGCATATTTAGTAAAATAGTAGCAACACTCAAATTCAGGTATCTTAAATGACTGCTTTGTTAAACAGAAAACAACAGTTATGTATTGGAAGTCTTCACATTGCAAAGGAAATTTGTACTGACGTTTTGTGAGCGTTATTAATTCATCCTGTCAGAAATAACTTTATGATGCAGCTTGGTGTCTACTTTTTTTGCACCTGTAGAGAAGTTGGAACCTATTCCTCATCTCGAGGCCAAGTACTCAAATTCTAAGGAACAGACCTAAGACGCTTAAAGTTTGCAAATAAGGGTAAAGCAGATATTTTAACAAATGGAGCGTGTAATTTTTTTTTTTTTTTTTTGAGCATGTAATGTTTGGTTTCTCCTTTTATCTAACTACACTTTAGTCCTCCAGGACAGGGCCCTATCCCTCCTTTGTGGGAGCATTCAGTTTCAGGCATCCTCAAACTATGGCCCACGGGCCACATGTGGCCCACCAAGGACATTTATCCAGCCTGCCAGGTGTTTTTGCTGCCACTGCCTGTCCTGCTTAGCAGCTGACTCGTCCCGAGGACCTCAGTTTGGCCCTCCAATGGTCTGAGGGACAGTGAACTGGCCCCCTGTTTAAAAAGTTTGAGGACCCCTGGTAGGTCATGGCCAGCTCAGCTGAGGGAACCTCTCACTCATTGAGGATTGCTGCTGTTTCTGTGGCTAGGAACTGACTGTGTTCCCTGTTCAGGATGTCTTTAGAGGTATCATAATAATTTCTTGCACATATAATATTGAGACTTTAAAAAAGGCCTATTAAGACTCCAGCAATAATGGAAGCCTTGTTCTAAATTGTGTCTGAAACAGCTTGAACAGAGGTGGAAGGAGCCTGGAGGCCTCACTTGGCTGCATCTCCACCCTTGATACTCAAGGTTACTGTTCTATATGCAAACTCCCTTTTTCTTGCTACTCTTTTTGTTTTCCCTCACACTTTTTTTCCTATATGATTTGGTACTAATTTAGCCTTTTAAAAAAACTATGGTAAAAAACACAACATCTTTTTTTTCACTATAATCACTTGTAAGTATACAGTTCAATAATGTTAAGTATAATTACATTGCTGTGTAACAAATCTCAAGAACTTTTTCATCTTGCAAAACTGAAACTCTGCAGCCATTGACCAACAACTGCCTCTTTTCATGCATACATGGGCAGTAGTAAGAGTTGGGGAACAAACCTCAGTGAGGAGCTCAGGAGACTAGCATGCTGACAGGGGGACCAGGTGGGTCCAGATTGCACTCCAAATGCCAGCCAACTGGGGTGGAGGGCTTGGGAGGGTGTTGCTGTCCTATGCCACAGAGCTTCCAGCAGCTGCTGCCCATATACTGAGAGGAAGTCTCAGAGTTCTCAGGAGTACAGCTTCTGCAGGCATCTTGGCTACAATCTGTTTCTTTGCTGTTTGTGGCCCTCCTCAGGTGTGGCCATTGTAATTATCTCAGCCACCTTCTGGATTGACTTTTGTTGAATCTCAGGGGTGCCTGGCCAGCGTATGTTAATGGACTTGAGTCCATTATACGTATGTTTACCACTTTGAGGGTTCAGCAGTTTCATTATGGGCTTAGTCACTTATGATAAGTCACTATGACTCCATTTTGAGCCATTTAGGGTCACAAAACATATATTACCTTTGCAGTGTTTTTCATTGTATCATTTTGTAATACCACCAATGGTACATAAGGGTTCCAGTTTCTCCACCTTCTCACCAACACTTGTCATTTTCTGTTTTTTTTTTTTTTTAATAGTGGTTATCACAAAGGGTATTGGATTTGGGTTTCTTTAATGATTATGAAGTTGAGCATCTCTTCATAGGCTTATTGGCCATTTGAAAATCTTTGGAGAAATGTGTGTTGAAGTCCTTTGCCCATTTTTCATCAAGTTATATTTTTTTGTTGCCTTGTAGGAGTTCTTTATAGATAGTGACCCTTTGTGAGACATAATTTGCAAGTATTTTCTCCCCTTCCATAGGTTGGTTGCCTTTTCACACTGTCGATTGTGTCCCCTGATGCATAGAAATTATTAAGTCTGAGGAAGTCCCCTTTGGCTATTTTTGTATTTGTTGCTTCTGTCATTGGTGTCATAGCCAAGAAATTACTGCTAAATCTGATGTTGTGATGGTTTTACCTACTGTTGAAGATTATTTGACCGTATATATGAGAAGTTATTTCTGGGCGTTTTGTTCTGTTCCATTGGTTTATATGTATCTGTCTTTATGCTGGTATCACTATAATACTATTTTGATTACTATAGCTTTGTATTATTATTATTATTATTATTATTTTTTTTTTTTGATGAGATAGACTCTTGCTCTGTTGCCCTGGGTAGAATGCAGTGGTGTCATCATAGCTCACTGCAACCTCAAACTCCTAGGTTCAAGGGATCCTCCTGCCTCAGCTTCCCAAGTGTCTGGGGCTATAGGCTCCTGCCACAATGCCTGGCTAATTTTTCTATTTTTAGTAGAGATGAGGTCTTGCTTTGCTCCAGCTGGTCTTGAACTCCTGAGTTCAGGTCATCCTCTTCGGCCCTCTCTGAGTGCTAGGATTATAGGCATGAGGCCCTGTGTCCCTCTGTACCTCTAATTTAGAATAAACTTAGTAAAATCTGGCTTGTATCCCATCATTTGATTGAACCTGCTCTTGACAAGGTCGTTAATGACCATTTAGTTGTTAAATTAAATGGATACATTTCAATCCTTATCTGCCACATTTGATTTTCTTTGGCCATATCCTTTTCAGTTACCTTTATGTCTTCTTGCTGTGCATGCCCTTAAACATCCATGTCCCCAGATTCCATTATTCTGCACACTCAGTGAGCGATTGCAGCCACATGATTATTTTCAGGTGTGATGAATAGATTTTGGAGTCATCATATTTTTCCAGCTCAGATCTTGCTTCTCTTGACAGTCTGTGTGAAAAGAAAAAAATAAATTTTGTAACAGATTGTGAAAAAGTACATATTTTAGTTTATTTTTATGTGTCCTTTCTTGATTGCTGCCCTTAATTTGTCTTTTGATACCAGATATTATTTATTTGCAGGCTTTATTTCATTGTTATTGTATTTATAACTATTTTTCTCCATTGGGAATTCCTCCTCCTCCTTTTTTCCCCTTCCCCAAAGTTTAAAAGAAGAATCTGTGGTTTTTCCCCTCTGCATAATTTCTCCACAGCGGTTCACAGCGGTTGATGGGAGCGGCAGGGACTGCTCTTGACTTGGGAAGAGCAATTGAAGAGGAGGAAATGACCCTCTTTGCTGAAAGTAAAGACAATTTAAGTATTGCTCATTCCTCTTCAGCGGCTCTTTCCAAGGTTTCTGAGTTCCCTGGGGAAGATTATGTTCTGGGTTTTACAGTTTATCATGTCAGTAGTTTACTTGCGATAGTCTCTCTCTCTCTCTCTCATTTCTGGCCCTTTTAGTAGCAAAGGGCCTGGTACTAAAAAGCAGCATAAGAAAGGAGACAGTGTAGTGAAGGTAAAAGCTGTCTCTGGGTCAGAGCTGACACTTCCCAGCAGTGTGGCCCTGGGCCCTCCAAGCCTTAGGTTCTTCATCAGTAAAATGGGGATAATAACAATATCTCATTGGGTCATTGGAGGACTACATTAAGGGGGAATTCAATTTTGAGGAAAGCTCTTAGTATCATGTCACCACATGTAAGGGTTCAATAAATGGTAGTAGGGTGGGGGAGGGGGTTGATGCACCTTTCATGTGTGGGACATAACCACAAGAGGGACTCTCCCTAACAAAATCAACCTGGTTCATTGGAGCCTCACATTAACCTGAAATAAATTTACGTAAAAAAAAAAGAAGAAAGGAATTAACAATATCTTTTTGTTGTTGTTGTTGTTTTGCAGGTTTTTTTTGGCCAAGGCCGGGTTTGAACCCGCCACCCCTGGCATATGGGGCCGGCGCCCTATTCCTTGAGCCACAGGTGCTGCCCAGGAATTAACAATTTAATAAAAGAAACTCTGAGGCCAAAATAAAAAATGCTAGTAATTACAAATTTGGTGCAATAAATGCTCAGCACTTTGGGAGTTAAAACCAATTGCTGCTGGTGATTGGGCAGTGAGTGACTTGAGAGAGAGCCCATGGGGAAGGGAGATGAAGATTGGCTGTGTGATCTAAGAAGCTCCAAGCCTCTTATTTATTTCACTTTCCATGTGTAATAAGACAGCTTGGAAAAATAGAGTTTTAGGACTGACATGGTATAACCACAACAGAGACCCAGCATAAGTGGTTAGAAGCAGCAAGCTATGTCTGAACCCTTCTCCACCTGACTTGAGCTCAGATTCTTCCTGCATCAC